GATAGATAGATAGATAGATAGATAGATAGATAGATAGATAGATAGATAGATAGATAGATAGATAGATAGTTAGATAGATAGATAGATAGATAGAGAATGTAAAAGAATAATGTTAGAGATGTAAAACTCAAAAAAGTAACATCACCACGATAACAAGATCAGCAACGACAGCAATAGCTTAACACAAACAACATCACCTTAACAAAAACAACCTCAACACCAACAGCAACGAATAATTCTATTAGGTTTATTAAAACAATCATTCTCAACCGAAAGTCCCTCAATGTATTAACCCCAATGTAGCTTGTTTTCTGATTTAGAAGGTTATAAAAATTAATAGTTTTCTTTTTTTAAGTAACAAAATATCCTTTTGTATAATCTCAATTTTGATTTCATATCAACAGTTTATAAGAATTCTTGAATCTTGTTGAATGATAAATGGTAAGAAAGAACACTTGTGCGTATATTCTCTGCCAAACTCTGGTTTTATCACATTCTAGGATTTCACATTGGGGAATTAAAGATAACTTATCATTTTGTCCGTTTTCTTAGTTGACTAAGCAAACTGTGTTTGAAGATGATCTCTTTTTTCTTTTTTTTTTTTTTTTTTGATGGGTAAAGTTTCGACATAGATTGCAACACACTGTAAAAGAGATCTAGCCCAAATCATTATTCGGTAAAAATGCGTCCATGGAAGATATCCTTTCTGCTCGTGGGAATACATAATAGATCTATATCATAGCGTTCTCCTCTTGTCCCTTTTTTTTAAACCTAAAACGTGCATGAAATGCTAGATCAACCATCACATAATCACTCTTCAGACAAAACTAATACCCTCAAGGAGTGACACACAGACAGGCACACATATATACTCACATACATACTCACACAAACACACACATACACACACAAACAAAAACACACACACAAACACAAACACGCACAGAAACATACACACACATACATACACAAACAAAAAACACACACAGACACACACACTTGCACACAAACATACATACTCTCTCTCTCCCACACACACACACACACACACACACACACACACACACACACACACACACTCACACCTACACTCACACCTACACTCACGCAATAAGTAGTGAATCAAACTTCCTCAAACATTCGAAAAAACAGCAGATCCACACATCGTCTCCCCCTAATCCTTACACCCTCTCCCCCTGACTCCCTCTCTCTCTCTCTCTCTCTCTCTCTCTCTCTCTCTCTCTCTCTCTCTCTCTCTCTCTCTTTCTCCCTATTTCAATCTCTCTCTCTCTTTTCTCTAAATATCTAATAACCTACCTATTTACTTATAGTCTCTTTTTCTTTCTCCTGTGACATAAATAGTTACAACAGAAACCACCCCAATTCTTTAAATCCTGATTATCAAGCACAGGCATAATACAAAGGCTCTCTGTTTCAAACATGATCTATAGCTTCTTATTTAAACACAATGAACAGATTCCACAACACTCATAATGAAACCAAAGTAGGCCTACGCTGTGGGTGTGTTCTGAGTTTTGACGTCGTGGGTCTCGGTGGTATTTATTATTTGATTGAAGACTTCTAGGCGTCCATCTGTTGTGCGTAAGAGTATTTTTGAAAGCAAATTATGGTGCCTTCTTTGGAGTATTTGACCATTATGTAAAATATAAAGCAAAAGTACGATGGATTGCAATCTTTCTAACTGTCAATATCAATTATATCTACCATTATTATAACAAGAAAGTATCATGTGTGATATGTTGATCACAACGAAAATACACAAAACATTGACTGAAACATTACAGTCATTCCAATGGCGTCATGTCAGGTGAGAAAAATGGAGGGGTTGTTGAAAAATCAATAATCATTATTCTCTGTTTCATGTGTCAGCTGTCTCTGCTTACGTCGGTTATTTCATCGCTGTGGGCAAGCTATTCTAGTCAACTGCGCATGCTCCGAAGGAACATTCCTACCTCTTCCTGTTCTTGCTTCGCTGCCTGGCTTGTGGTTGAGAGGACCTGATAGCGGAAAATTTCACACTGAATAGACACAAAGTTCTAATATTGCTGGAAAACATAATATAACAAAACAAAACATTACTCGTATAATGTGAGGCGTGCTGACAAAACGAGTTACTTCTTGGATTTGAGCCTTATGGAAATAGATATATCACTCTTATTGTCTTATAAGTTTTTTTAAAAATACATACGTATGAAATAATAACAGGCATATTATTACACTTAAAGAATATGGCATCAATAGAAAATCTACAAATTTGACCCTAGTGTTGATTTTTTTGCCAATATCTTCATTTGTGGATTGCGAGAAGTAACTCATTTTGTCAGCACAGCTCACATATAGTGATCTCCACCCTTTATAGGACCGCGGATAGATCTAGGTTGAAGTAAAGTCGTGCGTGAAATTCTTTTCGATTTTTTTGAAAGACAGAAGGGGTCAATTTTGACTATAATCGTGGTGGTGAAAGCTGATGTGTGTTTCCTTATAATGTTCTTGTATTATATTCTTGTCACTGCTCAATGAATGTCTGTACTGCTATTGCGTTACCAGTGTCCAACTTTCCAATTGTGCGTCTTTGGGAAATCCCAGTCGATCCAGATTCGTACAGAATGTTTTCTTCAACTTATTAAATTTACGGATATTTGCTTGTTCAACTTTTCGACCGTCAAAATAGTCTGTTTGTTTTTACTGAAGCTAACAAGATGAACCGTGTGGGAGGAGACCGTTATGAGGCCGCTTTTGGCTTTCTGGAGCTAAATGAAATGTGTTAAGTTCACAATTGGGTAGAATGTTTGTAGGCTGCAACGTATAGCTATCCTATAATTATACAGTTCTATCTGTTCAGAATCTTTTTGAGAAATTTGTCGTCATTAATTTTGAGTTAAACAACATGTCAAGCTTTTTCGAATGCAATTCTTTGAATATCACGATAACGTCTCCAATTAATCTTACGATTTTGATAGAGCAGATGGATCATTTGGTTTCTGATCGCATGGTCTTGGTAACTCAAAACGGCCAAACATGTGAGATAGAACGTTGTAATTCTAAGGTAGCGGTTCATATCAGTAGAGATCTATTTTGGGGAATATTATTATATCAAAGTAACTCGACTTAGAAAATGTGGGTACATAAAATTAACGATGCCCCCCTTGTCCAAACTGGAACTTGACGTTGTCAGGCACTGGGATATGCCCTCATCATAGACATAATTAATATGTAGGCACAAAGAAGTGTTTGCATTAGCTATACATGGGTTCGTCTGGGAAGAGAACGAAACAGACAAAAGCATGACGTTACACGACAAAGTGAGCGAAAAAGATTAGAACATTGCTGGTGGTGGTTGGCGGGTGCTCTGGTGAGGTTTGCTTCTTCTTTCCTTAAAAAACATCTATCGTCTTTATCTCCCCTCCTTCTTTTTTGTGTTTGCTACTCTCTTGTAACACCTCAAATCTCCGGCACTTGTATGACCTTATTGTGTTGCAAGTGCCGTAAAAACTTACTAAAACTAAGAAACTAAACTAATAAAAACTAAAAATTGCTTGAACTGAGTGACCCTCGGAGTTCAATAAATTGTTTCTGCAGACTGCGTAAGAACAGGACTTACGAATTACACATACATGAAGCCGCAGTGTATTGTATATTAAGGCGATATCTGCTTCATAATTTTAGCTACCTGTTGCGTATGACATTCTAAGAAAAACGAAAACACCAAAAGCAATACAATAAATACAGCAGTTATTTTGGCAACACACACTTAACATTTTCTTTGTCTCTTCTATTTTCTAGTAATTTTTGACAAGAATTAGATGTTACTGTTTAACCCCCCCAAAAAAATAAATAAAGAGATAGAGGGAGATGAAAAAGACTAAAAAGAGACAGAAAGAGACAGCGCTCTACAGAAGGGGAGGGAAGAGAGTGTGAGAGAGAGGGGGGGGGGGGGGGGGGGGGGGGGGAGAGAGGGGGATATATGTATATAAACATTTAATTTTCTGGAAATCAGATACATTACTATAGTATATTATTACGTATATTATCATTGTTTTCCCCCAGGTCCAGCAGTGCTACAACTCGAGGAAGTTCAGCATGTTCGCTCTGCATGGCTCCAAGAACACACAGGTATCCCTGGCCTCCCAGCTGGGGCACAGCGACAAAACGGAGGGCGAAGCGGGCGGACTCAGCACGATGCGAAGCCCCGCAACCCGACCCAAATCCGACAACCTATCCCGCAGCTCGATTCACGAAAATGTGGTGGGAGGACCGGGAGGAGGGGGCGGGACCGGAGGGCCCGGGGAGGTTGGCGGGAAGAAGAGTCTTCACCGGTTTTTCATACACCCTGAGAATATGACGCTGCATACGGTCAGCGAAGTGGCGGAGAAGACTGGAGGGAAGGAAGGGTCCAAGGATGTCAAGGGGGTGTTAGAGTCCGCGGAGGGGGACCAGGATGCTGATGACGAGGGGGAGCACGAGAGCCGAGAGGGAGACAACGATACTGGCAGTCACAACCGAGCCACCGGCAAAGCCGACGAATCGGAGCGTCCGGAGTCTGTAGCCACGCCCATCAAAGACGGAGAGTGAGCCTTGTTGGTTAGAAGTTTCTTGTTTAAATATGTTGTATGAAGGACACACACACACACAAAAAAACACAAAAAAAACAAAAAACAAACAAGAGATGTCACTTTAAAAAAAACTAAATTTGATTTGTATCTAGCTTTGTAGAGAGTGTATGCAACTCTTCTGTCCCATCCAGGTGTCCTGGGGTAAAACAGGATAATATCAAGCTTGGGGAATAAGCGATGCTGAGGAAATGACAAAGACAATGACTCTGACTATCTTTATTCATCTCGTAGGGAGAAAATTGTCTTGGTCGTTAACAATGGTAGTAGACGTTACAAGTTACAAGTGTTAGGTGCACTCCCGCATACGCACAACAAGACAGGACATTAGTACGATCTCTCTCTCTCTCTCTCTCTCTCTCTCTCTCTCTCTCTCTCTCTCTCTCTCTCTCTCTCTCTCTCTGTTTCATTTGTAGCAGTGTGTGTTCTATAAACTCACTGCAGTTAGTACGAATGAATTTCTATATCTGCGTGTTCATGCTTTTTTTGGAAATATATTCTTTACTGCGGGTCGGTAGTTGAAATTCCGATGTCTGTGGGTGGCCATGGTCACTAAGCAATATTGCCCCCTTTTTGTTGTTGAAAGTTTGTCTTGTGCAGATATTCAAGGTTATTTAGGTCTCTATCAATTGTTCTTGATGCCTTTCTGATCAACTTGTTTATTTTTATGATGTGCTGCCTTCCCAAATTGCTACCATAGCAAGAGATATTAAAACTTATCAAAGTTTCTATTTGTGGCTGTGTAGAATATCTGACGGATGAATGTATTCAGATTGAAAGACCTAAGTCTCCTCAGAAAGTACAGCCTCTGATTTACCTTTTTAACGATATTGTTTACGTGATTTTGCCATGTAAATTTGTTGTTGATTGTAAGACCAAGATATTTGTATAAATCCGTGATTTCATCATTTGTTTCTTGTTCAATTATGAGTGGTGGGATTGTTGGTTTTTCTCTTCTGAAAAAAAAAAATCATTTCCTTTGTTTTTTTAGAGGTTCAATTTCAGAAAATTGGAATTGCATCATTTAAAAAAAAACATACACATTTCTTCGAAATACTCTTTTTCATCAAGGTATATTAATCCAATAATAGCGGAGCCATCTGCAAACTTAATTAAGGGTGTTGTTTTATATAAATTATAATGCATAGGCTGTCCAGCATTTCATTTGTGGTTTTCTCAAAATTCCAAAAACTGACAATTTGTTGTTTGAAATTTATCATCTTCATACAAAAGTGTACATATACAATTA